AATATAATTCAAATACATAGAATACATTACAATTTTTAATGAATGGCTTCTGAAATTGGATAACAAAAACTGAAGAATGGTATCCTTTTTCTTACTGACAAATCCACAACTCATAATATAAATATCACTCTTAATACAATCAAGGGAATAACACAGTGATTTAAGAACATTATCTCCATAAATGAGTCCTTTACAGCACAGACCATATGGACAGAAATACAAGAAAACTAGCTTTCTTGATGTTCTGCATTTTCTGAACAGGTCTTCACAACTCAGAAAAAACAAGTTATAAGCAAACCAATCTTTTAATAAGTGATGAAATAGAGAAAGTTGAAAAACATGAACTTCATGGAATTTAGCTCAAGTGTACATACATTTAAATAAATAAATAAATAAAAGTTGCTAAACAAGTCCAAGCACATCATGCAATAAATTTTCTGAACATCATCAAATTGGTGAATTTCCTACAAATGTTCAGATGACAGATGTCCTAGAAGTATTAGCTGTATAATATTGATCAAATAATTTGTACAAATATTACAAACAATTCATATGTTCTTAATTATATTTATATTAAATTAGTTAAATTAAATTGATATTTTGAAGGATATTTTTCTCATTGCTTAATGTTATCAAAATAATCATGGTCAAATGTTATCACATTAAGTAGTGCTTACTGTATCACTGCTTTCATACTTTAGAATAAGTACATAATTTAATGACATTATTTTTACATAAAATTTAAAAAATATCAAATTTTTGCAGCAAATTTTGGTTTGGGCTCAATGTTTAGAATGCAATCAGCAGTGGTTTTGCAGCAATTTTTTTATCAAATATTTTGTTATATGAAAGACTTCAGCTTTCAATATTATTCTTGGCTTAGCTAAGATTTAAACTTAGCAACTGCAAAATCAGAATTAACATTTCATAAGTGGATTTCATAACAAATATTATATTTAGGCTTACCATACATTCTGGTTTACCCCAGAGAGTTCTGGTTTTTTAGTGTTGTCCAGGGTTGCAAAAATGTCCAGGATTTAAGAAGTTAATGACTGGTGAGATGTTAAAAAAAATTTTAGACCTATATGTTTGATATCGTGTTTTTAAAATTCTCTTACCGCCATGCATTTCTCAGCCGACCTTGGGGCAAGCACTGTCGATTTTGATGGAGGCATGGCTAACATCCTGCCACCTTTTACTTAGTTATTTGGCAACATAACAGGGGCAAGGTGTTTATGTTGTTTTCATGTATGAAATAACTCACTTAAATGGCTTTGATAATTTTATCTCTATTCCTTTTTTTGTCTCATCATAACAATGGACAAAAGAAAATGTGTATTTAATGTTAACCTTTAACAGGAATACACATTTTTTTTAAATTATGTAATGACAGTAGCAATGAACGTGTTTATTGCACACTATGTACTGGAGAATTTTCTGTTGGACATAAAGGAAAGGGTGATATTGAAGACCATGTGAAAACAGCTAAACATACGAGGAGTGCTATTAATGCTACTACTTCAGCAAACATAACAGATTTTTTTAAAGCCAAAGATAGTTATAACAATCACAATGATCTTGAGTGTGCTGCTAAAGAAGCTTCATTTTCATACCATACTGCTAGACATGTACTCAGTTTCAAAACATCAGACTGCACATCTAAACTGGTTAAAAAGTTATATGACCCAAAATTTTCCTCTGCTAGAACAAAAACAGACGCAATTATTGTCAAAGTTATTTCACCATATGTATTTGATAATGTATTGCGTTCTTTGGAAAATGTTAATTATGTAACAGTAACGATGGATAGCTCAAACAGAAGTGAAGTAAAACTTGTTCCGATTGTTGTAAGATATTTCAACCTGCAGGAGGGAATTCAAGTTAAGCTATTAAATTTCAATGAAGTGTCAGATGAAACTGCTAAAATTTTGACTCAGTATCTTTTGCAGTGCTTGAAAAAATATAAACTTGAAGAAAAGTTGGTTTGTTATATGCTGATAACACTAACAGTAATGTTGGTGGTGTGAAGAGAAAGGGGAATGAAAAATGTGCTCAGAAAAGTTCAAAAAGATTAAGATAAACTTATTTTAGGAATTGGTTGTTTAGCCCACATTGTACATAATTTAGTATAAATAGCATATGATTCTCTAACCTTGAACATAGAAGTTATTGTTATAAAAAATTACAAATATTTTCACATATATACAGAGTAAGAGTAACGAAACTTAAAAGAGTTCTATGAATTTGTGGAAACAGATTACAAAAAGGTATTATCTCATAGCACAAGGTTTCTTAGTTTGTTACCTGCAATAGATATAATTCTTTCCATTTTTGATGGCCTAAAATCATACTTTCTATCTTGTGACAAATGCCCAAAATTATTATTATTTGATTTTTTTTTTAAATCTAGAAAGTGAACTGTATTTGAAATTTTTATATGGTACTATACAGTTATTTAATGATATAGTTCTGAAACTGGAAGCTAATTCTATCACAGCAACAGAAGCATTTCAGACATATTCTGAATTACATTGGTTATCATAAATTAAGGAAAAATCACAAAAATAGCGATAACTCCCTCAAAAATAAGGCAAACCGTGTAAAATTTGAATATGTTGCCAAGTAAGAGTAGCTGAGTAAAACTGCGATATGCAAATTAGTGGTGCTGCTTTCGGAATACGTCATCTGCGAGGACCATAAAAGTCCACGTTTGAGAGCAAGCCCACATATTTCACTGTGACCGAGACATCAGAAATCTGAGATAGCCAATTCGTAACAATGACCTCCAGGCATCATTTGCCTGCAGAACTGCGATGAAGAGCCATTGGGAGACTAGAAGTAGGACAAAGTCAAACAGAAGTGGCCATATGGCTAATGTTAGTCCTTCTGTGGTTCATAGACTTGAGGCAATTTCAAATTACAGATTCGGCATCTAGGAGGTTTGGAGTTCAGCCGAGGACAGCCAACAGCTACAAAGCGCTGATGACCGATATTTGATATTATGCACACTCAGGAATAGAAACCGCTACTCCGACTCTTCTGAGATCCTCCTGCTGCAGCCACCGGAAGGTTCGTTGTCAATGTCAACTGTGTGTGGAAGGCTCATGAAGGTGGTCTGTATGCGAGGCGACCAGCCATTTGTGTGCCACTCATGTCACGGCATAGGAGGGACCATTTTCAGTGGGTCCGACAACACGTCCACTGGACGCCTGATCAATGGAGGGCAGTTCTCTTTATGGATGAGTCCAGGTTTAGTCTAGAAAGCGGTAGTAGGCGTTATTTGATATGGAGAGAACTTAGAACCCATTATAATCCGTCAAACATTCGTGAAAGAGATGCATACGGAAGGGGCAGTGTCTGTGTTTGGGGTAGCATCTCATAGGGTGGACGTACAGACCTCCATGTCTTTCCAAGGGGAACCGTGAATGCTCAGATTTACAGAGATGACATCCTTGATGTTTATGTGCACCCATACGCTGGGGCAATAGGTGATGCTTTCCTGTTACAGGAGGACAACGCAAGACTACACAAGGCTCGCATCGTAGATGATTATCTTCAACAGGAAACAATTATGCGCATGGAGAGGCCAGCTCAATCCCTGGACTTAAATCCTATCGAGCACGTTTGGGATGCTTTAGGAAGACGTCTAGCTGCTCTCTCAAACCCTTGTTGTGCTTGAAACTGCTTTACAAGAGCAATGGCTCTTGCTTCGTATGGCACTGATAGACCGCATAATTGAAAGCATCACACATCGCTGTATGTGCTGTATTGCTTCTAGAGGCGATCATATTCTATATTGAAGGTACTTTTCCTATAGCAAACTGACACCTTCGATTTGTTTATTTTATACATGTGCTAATTTCTATACTACCACATTTGTGAAAGAGATGCAAAGAGATTTGTTTGGTAATTTCTTTTTATGTTATTTCATACCTTACTATATGTTGATATTGTGGGTAAGTTTCATTATATTCTACATGTAACTTTTTCAGTAATCGTGATTTTTGTGATTTTTCCTTAATTTATGATAACCAGTGTAATTTGTCAACTTCAGAAAAGAAAAAATCACAAATTTATACCATCTTGTGGCAAAGAATTGCTACGCACTCTAAAAGAAAATAATGATGTTCAGGAACAAAAATTCTTCTCAAGCGTAGACAATTTTTATAATTCTAGTATTCGATACTTTGAAATGTGGAGAACCAGTTTTGATAAAGTTAGTAAGTTTCAATGGATAAATTTATGAACTGAAATTACCTGGTCTGATTTAAAAGAGAGTGCACAGGTTGTTAATGAAATTATAAAAGATTCTATAAATATTGATGACTTATTTGATGAATGTACATTGTTGAACCATATAATTCAAAACCAAAGAGTAGGTTGTAGATCAGACTCTGAAAAAGCATCAGATACTTCTGAAGAGAAGTGGAAAATAATTTTTAAAGCATTTCCAAAGACATATTTCAAGTTGCAATATTTTTTAAATGGCGAGTATGCAAAGTCTTTGCCTAGGACGTCTTCTTCAAATGAGAGAGTTTTTTTCAATTATGAGGAATATTTGGCTTGTAGAAAGGGGTAGGTTTTCAGTATCTACTGTTAAACATCTGCTAAATGTTAAAATTAATTCAGAACTTTCTTGTTGTGGATTTTATGATGTAATTAAAACAAACAAACCATTCTGAAAAAAGACATGTCTAGTAAAAATTACTATTGAATAAAAAAGTTTAATATTTCAGTAAACTGCTAAGCCTTTTAAATAATTTCAAAAATATATTCTGGGTTATATGTCCTGAGTTAATGGTTCCAACCCAGGACATATTTTTTTGGACCTTAAAAAATATGGTAAGCCTAATTATATTATTATTATTATTATTATTCATCACATTTAGATAAATCCAGATATCTGAAACATTTTCAATTTATAACTGAATTGGGGGGGGGAAGTTATTTCAACAATGATGAAAGTATTTCTGATTGAGACAATAAAAAAAATCACTTACTCTGCTGAAGTATCACTGTCACATTTAGTTATATCATTCAAAACTTCAATAACAGCTAAAAGTATCCCGCATATTCGATCAAGGACAACGCTAAAAAAAAAAAGTAGTTTTATACATTTCTTTAAATTTTAAAAGGTGAAAAAATTTCAAAAATTAAAGAAGAAAAGACATAAGATCAAGAAAGGCAATTAATCACGTGCTAAACCATTTTAACTATTTAATTATTAATAACTATTTAATTCATAAAATATAGCCTTGTTCATATTTTTTTAAAAAAAGTAGTACTTGTCAATTTTACCAGCAAATAAAGCAACAAGAGGAAAATGCCACCAAATTTAGACATCATAATACATGCACACACAAACAACAACAACAACAAAAACTGAAAGGATTCAAATCTTATTTTTTTATCAATTTTTTTTATGTTGTCGCTGAGCTCGCAGTCTACTAGTAAGCTCTTGTGCTGATTCCTGCTAATCCATTCCTTTTTGACTTTTTAGCTTTATTGTTAAGCATCAGTTTCTTCGCTCATAAGCAGCACAGAAACTTATGCTAAGAATTTCTGATGCAGTGTTAAGTGCTGGCATACATTTTTATGTACACTTTTTTCCAGTCTTTTCTCAGTTCATCAAATCAAAATTCAGTTTTCTTTTTAAAATGGCTTGTTTAAAAGCGGGGAAAAAACGGTAAAAAAATAAAAACCATTTCCCCCCTCTTTATTGTTAACATTTCATGACTTAAATTTGCTAACTAAATATCATATTCATCATGTATCTTTAGAAATCCTCATGTATATCATCATGCATCTTTAGAAATACATGATGACAGCATTCAGTGGCAATACCCTTTTATTTGTGTTGCCATACATGTTTTTATATGCACTAGATAATTTTTTTAAAAAAGTAATGCATGGTGATCGCATTTAGTGGCAACATTCTTTCACTTGAAAAGTGATATGGACAAAAATGTGAAGATCGAGACTAACAGGGCTCTAAAAAAGAATATTCTTATTGCAATATATATATATAATAATAATAAAATTAACAAGCAAGGTAGTTAGTACAATACCGTAAGACCAATTTGGTCTAAATAATTTTTTTGCGCAATATGCTGCAAAATTAAAGATATGAGAAATTGTAGAAAGCTCGCCAAAAAGTTACCAGGAGCTGTGGCTCCAAGAAAAGTTCAACACATTTTTTTAAAAAACAATGTCATTGAAGGGTGAAAAAATATGCTACACGTTAAATTAAACACAGTAAAATACTAATCTTTGGAAACTATTAACGGCAAAAATACAGTAAATACCTATCGATGTGACAAGTGTAAAGTCAAAACATAGAAAAACCAATCGATGGAACAAGTTAAAACATAAAACAAACATAAGCATATAAAAATATAAAGTGGAAAATGGTAAATTAGCTCAACCTGGCTTTTCAAGGGAAATTTCTAGCTGAACGTCGAATTAAGCTAACTCCATTACGCGTTTCACCGAGACAGACAATTGAAACTTTTGCATTACAAATTTTAATTAAATAGATGAATTGTCTTAGAAAATTTATTAGTCTCAATTCTCTGTTCTAATTTCCCGACACAGTCCCGCACAAAATGACACATTAAGGTGTTAAAAGATGTAAAAATAATTTCCGATTGTACAAGAATTAAGATAAAAATAAAAATAAATAGCAGTCTGCTATTAGTAAAAAAATAATATATATACAAAATAAAAAAATAAAAATCTGAAAGGTTTCAGATTTTAAATTACGCCCAAACGGGCTTTTTTTAACATTTTGTCTGTTACCTTTATTTATTAAATATCATGTTCTTATTCAGTTAGAGAACAAAATCGCAAAATAGTTTTAAATTGAGCACATCTTTTGAATTTCTGATACAAAGTCTCACACGCTGGAGATAAAAATGTGTTTTTCTGTACAACGTTGCCACTGCTCGCTTTGAAATCCTTGAGTTTGTTAATCAAAAATTCGTTAAAGATTTACAAAATATGAAATTGATAACAAAACAAATTCGATAATAAATCCAAATGGGAGGTTTTTAACGTTTTGTGTGCTACCTTTATTTATTAAATATCATGATCTACGTACTCAAACCATAAAATTCAGTTCAACAGCAATATCGCAGAATAATGTTAAAATGAGCATATAGAATTTCTAATACAGAGTTTCACGAGCTGAAGATAAAAATGTTTTTTTCCGTACAGTGTTGCCACTGTTTGCTTTGAAATCGTTGAGTTTCTTAATAAAAACTCATAAATGCTTTACAAAATATGAAATTAATAATAAAACAAATTCCAAATTTGGGCTTCCGCACGCCCATATTCACAGTAAGATTATGCCATTCAAAATTCGATGGCTCTATGTACTGCTGTTTTATCATAATGCAAGAAATATACATACATTTTATGCATATTTTTCACTATTTAATTTCTTCAAATATAATACAGGACTCTAACATTTGGTGACAACAGTTTGAAAAGTGAAACGGACATTTATAGTGAACCAATGCAAAATCGCAAAATGAAAACAATATTCCTTCAGAAACAAAGCCCCTTTGTACTAAAAATTCCTCCACTAGAAAAATTCATTAATTTTTGTGGTAGCTATAAATCGACAACAGCTTGGCTATCAGAAACTAGATTTTTAAAGAAGCAAACCAATTGCTGATGCAAAGCCTTTCTTTTTTAATTTTTCACACTGTATCATTAGTGGCATATAACTTCCACTTGCTTTGCAAATTTAGATGCAGATCAAACTACCATTATCTTGGAAGAATGTAGCAGCTTCATTTCCACTTGATAAAGTTATAATAATCTTATTCAGAATAAAAATAATAATAATAAAAAGAGAAAGAGAAATTTTTTACAAATTTAAAAAAAAAAAAAAAAAAAAAAAAAAAAAAAAAAAAAAAGATTTTACAATTCTTACTGCTTGGGCTTCATTATGGTTTTGCTATATTGTTCAGCAATCATCACCACCAAACTTGATAATTAATTACTAGTTACTAGTGAAATTCCCAAGCAGCAAAAATGGTCTTCTATTTTAAATCAAGATCTATATTCATTTTAAATATTTTTCACGAAATTTAAAATATATTAAATCAAATAAAAATACACAAGTTCTCCCTTATATTTACTATCCCCTTTTCTTAATACGTTTTGAAAGCAAAAAATTACTCACTCAGAATTAGAAGTTAAAAGGCATGTCAAGGCTAAGCCCAAAAGCTTCCTTCGCTGTATTGGGTTCATTAAAGGCATTTTCTCGAGCCACGAATCAAGAAGTTCACCTAGGACACTTCCAACCTTTGAAATAAATTGAGATAATTAGATATTTTTTATCTAATATAGGGAGAGAAAATTGCTTTTATTTAATATGTAGTAAAAATATACAGTTATGTAAAACAAAATGTCTTTAACTTAACAGTTTATTTTCTTTAAAGTGACATATAGAGAAAAAAACATTAACTCCCCAAAAATCAACAACAAAAGAATAAAAAGCAAATGTTTAAAAAATAGGTTAAAAAATCCTATTTATTTAAACTAAAGCAAAAGAAACCATTTCAAAATAATATTCTTTCATATAACCTAACCAGCTTTTCTTTTTTTATATATTTTTTTAAACAAAAAATGGAAATGGTTCGTTTATATAAAATACATTTAAGAATTTCGCTTTTAAGCTTTGTAATTTTAGATGAATCACGTAAAGGAGGTAACATCTGTAATTTAGAAGAGGAAAGTCATTTAATTTTTTTATTTAAATTTATTAAACCATAAATGAATTAAATTACTAGACCATGAGATGAAAATAAACTGACGATTAATCAACCTTAAATTTAAACGTATCAGCACGAAAGGGGGGACAACTAATAAAAAACACAAAAATAAAGAAGTTCACAAAAATCTCAAAAATAAAAAAATAAATCTTTTGGTTTCAAATATCCTGTCTTAAAACATTGTCATCATTTGTGAGCTAGCAGTAGTAATCAACGGAAAAATTTCTTCGAAATCATGCTAAAAATTCCTTTGATTACAATTTATGAGGATCACATGCTGTATATCTTTCTACATTCTTTTCTACAACTCGAACAAAGAAAACAAAATAAAGAACCTTAAAGTATATTCAAATTTTAATTTTTATAATTGCTTTGCTTCTTTCTTTTGAATACATGCTTGCTTTTCAATCAATTCATTTGTCCTATCAAGTAGCAAACACAGTCCTGGTGAGATAAGGCTATTAGACAGGCTACAAAAAAATGCTGACGTAATGTAGATAGATCTGGAAGTACGGAATTGGGTAGTCATGTGTTTATGAAAAATGGCATGGAGATACTGCCCAGACGCAAATTCCATTCACTAGGTTACCTGCCTACATATATATAAACAAAGGCTACTGAGTATGTCTCATCACTGAGAATTCAACAGTTTGACATCATCTCATAATGATCAAGGCAGTTTGCTACTGCAAATGGTGCTCATGATACTAACTGTCAATTGGAGGTGAAAATAAGTCTTTCTGAAATGCAATGTGCTGTTCCAACAATTAAATTTTTTCTGTAACAATTAATATGGACCCATACATACTACCAGGTAATATCATACAGCCATAGATGATGGAAAGCAATGAGTGGTACTTTTCACAAGAGCTCAAACATGACATTCTCCTGCCAGTCCAATAAGTATTTATTACTGGAGTCAGCCTTCTATAAATCACTAACATCAACACCATTTAATTGCCACATCCCTATGAGTAATCTTTTGGCCATTAAATTGAATCAGAGGACTACTTTTGACCTAACAATAAATCTTCTGTTGTCTGCACATACTGCTCTAATCAATTAAATCAAAGGACTACTTTTGACCCAAAAATAAATCTTCTGTCATTTGAATATACTGCTTTAATCAATTAAATCAGAGGACTACTTTTGACCCAACAATAAGTCTTCTGTCGTCTGCACATACTGCCCTAATAAATTAAATCAGAGGACTACTTTTGACCCAACAATAAATCTTCTGTTGTCTGAACATACTGCTCTAATTTTATACCAAGCAAACCCAACAACCCTTAGGAATTCACATTCTTTAATACACTGCCAGAACAGTTTTTACATTTGAGCTTTGAACTTTATACCCTCTTCACATGCTTACCTTGCGCCGTGGTAGTTATCATTCAATATTTGTATGTGGAATTGCATTTCAATCAAATGATAGCACCAAGATATAATTGGGGGTGGAAGAAGAAAAAAGAAATTGAGTATATTTTACCAGAAGTCTTTACATGCTAAAAATTTCTGGACACCCCAAGACATATTTAGAAATTTTTCTTATGGTTATTTTCTGAAATACGAATATATTAAATAATATTTGTTTGAGCTGCAATATATCATTATAAAGCCACATATTAAATTTTGAATACTGGAAAAATACAGATGTACCCTGATTCAGCATCCATTAGTTCACTTATCTGCATTTCGATATTGCAGACAAAAAAAAAAAAAAAAAAAAAAAAAAAAACTGTTGTAAGTTTTAAAATTAAGCCAAGTGACAACAGTTCATAACATAGCTGAAATACAGCAGTTCAGACATTCTCAGTGCTATTTCCAATGCATTGACACATTCATTTCTGGTCAATATAACTAAATACAGTAATGATAATGGTTGTTAATGAACCTCACAAGCATGCTGAGTTGTCTTCAAATTCTGAGCTCACATCCCACCTTAATGATCATAAATGTACTGATGAGTAACTTACTAAAAGATTTATGACCGGACAGCGAGTTTTTCGCTTGTTTCTGAACCCATACTACTATTTAAATTTGCTTCAACTCTTGCTTTTTGTATTCACCTTCTTCTCAATATTATCATACTATCATAGCTCTTCTGCTTTTTAAATTCTGTTAAATCTCAATAAGGATTCTATACCCTAAGAGTAGTACTACAAGTGCTCAAACACTGCTAATGAGCTAAAAGTGTTAGTGCAACCCATGAATATATTTTAGTTATGTATTTATTGTAAATATTGTGCCAAAAGTTGGCATAAGTATATGATTTACTGAAACAATAACTAAAACAGTAAACTTCATCTGTAGATGAGATTTGAATCCTCAAGTTTGTTACACAGCTTGAAGAAATTCAAAGTAAATAAAACGAAACTATTTAATATAATGAGGCAAAACATTTATATTGAGAAGCTGCATAAAAACACTTTTGATTTAATAAATGAAGTCAAAATTTTCATGGCATAAAACTAACTAAATAAAACCATCAACAAGCTAATGGATAATCAATCAGCTAATGGATTAACATGGATAATCAATTTAGAATTTCTTGTTTACTTAAACTGACACTTAAATATTCTCAAGAGAGCTGCAAGGAAAGATTCAACTTTTCACTGGCACGCATGCTTGTATTAAACTTTCTAAACTGCAGTTATGGGAACCATGGCTTAAATAAAAGTATTTCATACATTTCCTAGATCTTAAATCTTGCCATATTATTTCAAATGAAAAATGTCAAAAATATGCAAGCAAATTAGCATTATTACAACACTAATTTGAAGAAAGATATAGTGACTTTAATGATTTGCATACAATTTAAAATTATTTTCATTATTATTAAAACAACCATGAATAACATACCATAAAATCTACAAATGGAGCTAATTAATTACCAGTGTCATATAAATCTTATTCAAGGATTGGAGGATTTATTCATACTTGTCAAAAGATACAGGTGGTTATCAAAATAATGGAAACACTTTAGATTTATTAAGAATTCTTTATTAATATGGCACAGGACTGCCTTTGGCATGTAATACAGCTTGGATTCGCCTGGGATTCGAATAATAGAAGTGCTGAATAGTGTGTAGAGAAATACTGTACCATTCTTCACGGAGATATTGAGAAAGTTCTGGGAGAGATGCTGGTGGAGGATATGGATTCCGGATCGAATGCTCTAAAACAGACCATAACGGCTCCATTATATTGAGGTCGGGAGAATGTGCGGGCCAAGGTAAATGTTTCACTTCATCCTATATTCATCAAACCATGATCAGATATATCTCCCTGCATGAATAGGAGCATTCTCATCCTGAAAAATTCCATCTCCTACAGGAAATAAAGTTTGCATTATAGGATAGACCTGGTCAGATAAAACTTCTTTATACTTCTCCCCAGTGATCCTTCCTTGCAAGGTTATGATTGGGCCAGCAGAAAACCATGACACGGCTTCCTATACCATGATGGATCCACCTCCATCATGGTATAGGATATCACCTCCATCATATATAATCCATAAACGTTTAACAGTTGGAAGGAAACAATCATGATTATACACTTGTGCAAGTGTCCTTCAAATGTGCACCTGTCCTGTGTAGGGAAAAGCATGAAAGATGATTCATCTGACCATATAACTGTCTTCCACTTATCAATCAACCAGGTTTTGCGGTTATGGCACCATGTTAAACAATGTTGGCATTAAACATGCATGACAAGTGGTTTGGGAATTGCTGCTCTGCCATAAATATTCTGTTTATGAAGGTGCTCCTAACTGTAATTATTAAGATTGGAGAATCCAGATGCTGATTGAGCTCTGCAGTCACTTTAGCTGCAACTGTTTTCTTTTTAGACATTACAATCCACTTCAATACCCATTCGTCTCTTTCCCTCAGCTTCCCCTTCTGTCCACCAGTTGCTTTGCCAAGTTTGTCTTGCCATGCTGAATGTATGCTGTCATGACTTTAGACACCATACCTCTAGAAATGCCTAATAGCTCAGATATTTCAGTCACAGTTGCTCCAGCTAGTCGAGCTCTTACAATATGGCCTCTTTGAAACTCTGTGAGGTCTGGCATTTTTCACTTCTGACAGAAATCCAGGACGTATAAAACTTCAATATACGAAATGTTTTTCATGAATGATATCATGTCATGTGTCATTAACTCATATATATATATTGGTAGCTAGGATTATATTTTATTGCTTACAAAACACATTCTTAAATGTCACAGAACATACTTTTATTCACAGGTGTTTCCATTATTTAGATAACCACCTACAAATATCCTCAGTTATGAATTTTTGCAATAAGAATAATCACTTTGCTTGGGAATACATTCATACATGAACAAGTGAAGTTAATAAATTTGTAAACAGAGCTCAACAGACTGATGAGCATCTACAATCAATGATGACACTTTCTAGTAATTTTTCTGCAAAGCTACAAACTTTACCAGAATCAAGTAACAAATTCTAGTAAGCAAATGCAGCAGTTTTGAATGTCTCAGAGAAAAATTTAATAAATAAAAGAATAAAGGTCATTATTTAGTCTAATGTTAGGTTTGAAATGCTTAATGTAATGAGAGAAATTTCTTTCAGGTAAAAAAATTTAGATTTCAGATATAAAATAGTTTTTTTTTTTTTTTCTTTGCGTTATTATTATCGCTGTTTGTTATGTTTTGATAAATATCTGTAAAGTTTAGGCACATAAAAAAGGTGCAAAGAATCTCATAATTTTAGCCAGAAAGAGAAGGAAATAATTAAACCTTTAATAAAAATTTTAAAGAACACCACTGTAAAAAATACAGTTAAATATATACAAAATAAATTTTTAATTAAACTGGGTTTGAGGCAAATTAAATTTTAAACTATAATTTCCAAACATATTAGAAATTTACACACAACATATTAACATCAGGTTATAAAGAAATCATATCCATAACATAGAAGCACAAATACCCCCTCAACCCCTTTTTTTTGGCAAGGCAAAAAATTGGTTTATTTTATTAGCAATAATCTTTTGCTTGGTTTTTAGTTCTAATTGACTATATGCTTAATAGTCAAATTAAATTTTTTTTTGTTTTATTTTTGGCTTGTTTTATAGATTTGATTGGCCATGTTCTTAATTGAATTTTCTTACTTGCACTTTTCTGCTTGTGATTCTTGTAAATATAGGAGATGAAACATAATAACTTAAATTGATTAATTATTGTTATTTGAACAGAAACAGTTTGTTTTCCTTGAAAAGTCAATTGGTCTTCATTCAATGACAATAATTGATTTTTTTTTGCCTTTTACAATTTAATTTGATTTTTATGTTTTTTCACATGTGCTTTCCTTTGTTTATGAATTTAAAATTAAAAAAGAAAAAATATTTTGCTTACATTTAAGATTACAATTTCTTTTCAATAAGGTAATTTTTCTTATTAATATATATAAATTCACTATAATTTTTGCTAACAAAGTTTAGCCTGTCAGCTGCTGCTTTCCAGATTGTGCATTCAGTCCACATGCAATATGAATTTTGAGATTACTGTTCTAATATACAATATATTTTAGATTACTTGGTTTAGAAATACTTTAATGCACTGTATTATTCATAAAAAACTTTTAATAATTTATTAATTATTTCAGTTAAAGTTCGTGATTGATTTAGTTTATTATTATTTATCAATGATTTATTTAATTTAATAATGATAGCAATTTTTTAATGCTTTTCATAATTTATTTATTAAACTTAACCATAACTATACATAATATACAAATATACTGTTTCACTATTATCCACATCTTCAGACATATTACTTACAGACATGGGGAGACTACAGCAATTGTTTCTATTACTAAATGCAAATTGTGGTTTTATACTATTAACAGAGAGACACTCACATTTTTTTGGGATTCATTAGCTTTTTCTTGTAATATGTGTCCAAAACAATTTTGATTATGCAATATGACACGTGACAATACTGAAAAATACACAGTCAAGGAGATGGGAAGTTCCTGAAAGAGATATAATCTGACATATAATATTCATTTAAAAACATGAATATAAAGCATAGACTCTTACACTAATTAAAAAAGTGATTAATATTCAAATTAAAACTGAAAAGTAATATAAGTTTATACTCTCAGGAACTATTTTTGGGAAAAATAATATAAAGCTTCCCAGTTTCAACATCATTAAATTTCAACTTCAGTTTAAGATAATAAACATATCCTCTGTAATAAATTACAGTATTTAGTTTATGCAATCTAAACAATTCAATAAAATGAAAAATGTCAAAAAGTTACATATTACATATGAGCTCCAAGATTTTCCAATTTAAGTTTCAGCTAGTATAAATTAAGTTTTAAGTTTAGAAATTTTAAACATTCTGTATATTCAGTGGTATTAAAATTATACCACATTATAAAAATTATAGCAATCATTATATTAACAAGTGTTTTCCTTGAATCACTAATATCCATTTACTTCTCATTTCCAAAAATTTTGATACTGGAAGAAAGAATGGATACTTTTGAACCAGCCACACAATAAGAATATAAGGGGGGAAAAATCAATAACATCACTCATTATGAAACATGCAAGTAACAAAAACCATAAGTAATGCATATTAGAAAATTACAAAATACAGCAATAAATAGTGATTACCATTTGAAACAAGAAAAAATACAAGAAGCATTCCTGTCAATTTTACTAACACTTTTGCATAAATGGGCTGCAAATTACCAAATGTGCAAAAAGCATCAAATCTGGTAGCCTATTTAAACTGTATTCATGAACAGCTCTACAATGATAATACATATGGTAGTCCAAAATCCAGTCTTAAAATATCCAGAATGATATAATAGCCATCTAATATCCTAATATCCAGAATGATTCAATATCACTGGACTACCAGCTAGAAAAATAGATTAAACAAAATAAAATAACACACACACACACACACACACACACACACACAACAAAAAAAAAAAAAAAAAAAACCTTCCCTTACAAAGCCTAGGAATAGAGAGTAAAATACTCATAAAAAAGGAAAGTTAGTGCCATAAATGCAACGTCACTTTCAAACACTTGCTGGCTAGGTAATGGCACTGTCACAAATGACAACACACTAACTGACATACTGATGCTGGCCAAAATCATACTTTCGATAATTTTTCTATCCGACTTAAACAATAAGTGAAGCCCCAATGTTGCCATGTCTACACATCTTACTAAATTTAAACTGATGATTTAAAATATGGAAAGTTCTAAAATCTGGAATCGAAGTCCCAACAATTCCAGATCATGGACTTCATACTTTATTATGTTTAATGTGTGCAATGGCAAATTTGTTTGTGAAGCTTGATTTGCACAACTTTCCAAATTTTTTTAAAAAAAAAAAAAAAAAAAAAGATGACAGTGTACCTAGATATAACAACAGTTTTGTTATCCCCATATGCAAAATGATGTGTTTTGGTTTAAAAATAATCAGAGAATTGCACAAATTCGGCATTAATATTACATAAATTACATATATTATACTCATTATATAAAAAACAGCTATTTTCATGAAGCTTTATATATGGGTACGGTTGCCACCATGTAGTTAAATTCTGTACCAGTATATATGTTTAGCCCTAAGCTGTACCCTGTGAACAGAAAAGTACCATTCAATCTTTACTATTTCAACAGAACATTATAAAGGTCAAGAGGCATTTAGATGAGAGAAGCACTCAAAATTGTGCTCTTGGCTGGAGCCAAACCAAGGATCTTTGGTATACCAGATTAATATGCTAATCTCTGATCACAAAAGCAGATAGGAAGAATTTTTTTTTTATAATACTTTTCATCTAAAGGGTTCTAGGGCAATGCATAGTCCCAACTTACAAATGTCCAGCTGGTGATGAATTACTGTCCATCATTTTTTGTTCAGACACTGGATGAAAAGACTAGGAGAAATACAGGAGTAAGGAATACTTGAAAATAAACATCCTGCTGGAGTCAAACACATGATCTTTGATGAGCTATTATTTTGATGTGCCACAAGAGCACACCATAGGTATGCCTTTAAATTCCTTATATGCCTCATTATTTAGCATGAAAATACCTACATGCATACATAATTCCCTCCTGAGCTCAATGTTTCTTCTCAATGGAAAATCTTAAATAGCTTTCTGTTAGTATTACAGGAAGCAAAGAATTAATATTACTTGAAACATAATTTAAAATTTGGTAACTGAACCCATTTAAAAAATTCTTCATGAAACTGGGGGGGGGGAATCCTTCAAGAGGTAAGCTTTTTGATTGTGAGAATGACATCAAAGAAAATGGATTTTTAAAGGAAAAATTTCATAAGCACTTAAAGAATTAGTAAACTATTAACAATTAAAATTATAGCACATATATCACACTAGCTTGGAACAAATTATATCTCTCAAAACAGCTTTAAATATAGGTTTTAAATAATATCTCAATAATGTATTGCATCATGTCCAAAGCTAATTGAAGCAAAAACATCAGTCTTTATTCCTTATCTCAGATATTCTCTCACATTCCTTTAAATAATAACTAAGAGATTAAGTACCACCAGAGAGAAAAATTTAGAATCTATCAGTAAACATAACTAAATGAATTAAAAGGAATTATCTCTGTAAATGTCTTCAATCTTGTAATATTACTTTAAAAACAAAACAGAGATACGTAGTATATATATATTATTATTAAACACAATCTAATATTTAACACAAAATAAGTTTGAGGGTAAAACTACTTCATAAAAACTTCAAAAGCTAACATTAAATTATGAAAGAACCATTTAAAATGGTCATATACACTTTAAAAAGTAACATGGTTGCTATAAAAAAATTCTTTTATTTTTTCAAAAACATTCATTTATGAAAGCATTATTAAAATCCCAAACTACAGAAATTTTGCAGTTTAAAATAATGGATAAAAGCACATATAATTTATGACACTGATTTAAAAAAGATAACAGAGTAATTATCTATTAAAAGATGCAAACATTTATAAGATTACAAAACATTTGTGTCTTTTTTTAAATGAAAAATTTTTTTGGATATATGTACCTATATTCTTCTCTTTTCTAAATTCATTTGCTTTAACAAACAAATCAATGTTCCTACTAGTATCTGCATCACCTGTTAAATTGTCTTCTAATTTGTTAATATATCTTTGAAAAAGAATTTTCCTTTGCTCTATGTAATCATTTCCTTTCTCAATAATTTTTCTCTTCATCTTTGAACTTTCAAATTTATATTTCAAATTTTTTATTGTTTTAAGAAACTGCATTTCTTCAGAACATACAGAAGTTGGTTGTAGAGATTTTGAGAAGGGTTATCAATAATACTTAACTGATTTATGATCATGACATTCACATGTTCTGTAGAATTGAGGGGAAGCTATTCAACATCATAAAAGGCATATTATTTATAATTTTATTTAAGAAACAAAAGATTAAAAGGAAAAATGTTTGACTTCAAAATCATAATAGATTTACAGCTAGAACTAAACAAATACTTTTATTTTTCTAGGAAGCCTAAGAAACAATAGCAAATTTAGTACTGTGCCAACTAACACTGATTAGCTATAAGGACCTTCTACAGTTTACGATTTGCAGCCAAATATTTGTAACTTAGCCTATTACATGTAAATGAAAATGAATCATGTAAATAAAGGATTTAAATTTGATTTGTATATTAAAAAAATAAAATCTGAAAGCTTTCGGATTTTCCAATATACCCAAAGGGGTGTTTTTTTAGCATTTTGTGTGCTACCTTTATTTATTAAATATCATGTTCTTCACACTTAAACCATAAAACTCAATTCAATAGTAATATCACAAAATAATTTTAAAATGAGCATATCTTTAGAATTCCTGATACACAGTCTCGTGTGCTGCAGATAAAAATGTGTGTTTTTCCCAGACAGGGTTGCCATTGCTCACTTTGAAGTCATTGAGTTTGTTAAACAAAAATTCGTTAAAGTGTTATAAAATATGAAATCGAAAATAAGCACATTTTAAGAGAAAAAATAACACCTGTCTAATTACAATTATACACACTGCAAAACCTTAAAAAAAATTAGAATTACAATTAAAATTGAGCAATCATATTATTAAGAGAATGAGCATTACCTCAACCATGGAAAACAATTAATTTTTTTTTTTTAAATTTAAATGACAGTTCAATAAGAATATTTAAATGAGAGAAAAAACTATGCAGAACTAAACTATATTACAAGATTTAATGATGAAATTTCAGTTCAAATATAGAAAATAATAATATAAGCCATACTAATTGTATTCGCTTGGCACTAATAATAAACAATGTATTTTTCCACTCATATTAATATTAATATTTAACTTAAATCAAAATTCTGACATTCTAATTTCATTGCATAACAGTTTTCCTTAACATTATTACAAGAAGTAATTTAAGTAAAAAGAGGAACATTTCTGAAATCAGGACGGGAAATTCCTTCAGCAGTCATTCTTAACATAAAAGCTTAACAACCCGCATCTCGGACTGCCGAATATTCCGTATAGTCGAAACTAACTGGAAAAGAGGAGGGGGAGGGGGGATTGTACCGTTCTTTAGATTTCTCGGCTAAATAAAAGATTTGACATTTCGATATGTGCCTATAAAAATAGACCCAACGGAACTGAAACATTCGCTTAGAAAGAACTAAACTCTTTTAAGTGTCATAATAAATCTCAGACTGAACATCAAAATAATTATCTCTGCAAAATACCGCAAACGTTATTGCGCAATACTACGAGTAATTCTTCCATACGTGATAAACGCAATCGGAATCTGAATTACAGCTGCCGGTATTCGAATAAAGAACTAAATAAAGGAAAAGAAAGGACTTAACAATCTGGGGTTGGACAATGCGTTCTTCAATTTAGAGATTTGCGAGAAACGGGAGAACCCCACCTCAAACTGTATAACATATTGGGGAGCAAAAAAAAAAAAAAAAAAAAAAAAAAAAAAAAAAATATTTTGACTATTCGATACTTTCTATTTACTTAAGCCATTCCGAATATTATTCTTTAGAAAGCTAATCTGTGTAAAAATAAACCCATTTTTGGAAGTTTATCTACACTTCAGCAGCTACTGCAACTATTATTATAAATATTCATACATATGCTCATAATATTAAGCATAACGATCATAATAAACGCAAATATGAACTGACCACGTGGAACGAGAACGTAAATTATTAAAATCTTGATAGAAATTCAAACGTGTGGGGTAGGAGGAAAAGAATACTGAATGTACCGGAATTTTCTATGGTTTTCGCAATTCTTTGACAAGAACGACGTGCACCTGTTCCTACTCTCGCGCGCACCATAGGTTCGTTATGCAAGAAAGGGGAAAAGCTAGTTCCGGGAGTAATGTTCACCATCTGACTTCCATATAAGGAAGAAAGTTTTTAGTTTCGGCCTTTGGTACGGGGAAATGCCGTTCAGTCCAAAAACATAACGCAAAAAAAGCACTAAAACAAAAAATATGGCTTAAAGAAAAAGTAAGATGCACCTATAAGGGCCTTTATATTTTATTTTCAAATATAAGGACTTATAAGCACTTGTAAGGACCGCTACGAACCCTGTGTAGTAGATGACACAGACAGCAGTTTTAGCAGCATTGAATGATTTTAACCTAGGGAGCAGCAGTGGACAACAGTGAGAGCAGATGAGTCAAGATACAAAGAAATAGAAATGAAGACATCATGTAGTCTAATGTCATAGCTGCCAACCTTGAAATCTTTAATTCCGGGAAATTTTTGCGAGAAAACCAGCAGAAATCAAGAGGTTTATACTGCTCGGCATTTCAAATGAATTCCAAGTTGACTTTAACTCACTTTATGATGCATGGTTCAAGTTACTGAGCTATATGTCATTCAATTCAAATGTAAAATACAGCATTTAATTAGACATTCTAAATTTTTTGTTCCTTGGCTAATTCCCCCTTGTAATTTTCTTACACTTTTACACTAAGAAAATCCCAAGTAAGGAAGGAAAACTTTTATTTGTTGAAGTCTTTTTAAATACGATGCAAATAAAATTAATAATTAAAGTACATAGTATTTGTATGAATAAAATTTAGTAATGTACCATTTATTGAAGTAAAAATAATTAAATAAAAATATTAACTAATTAAACACTCCTTGAATCTTATAAAAATCTACAGCTGTCAACATTAGATTAAGACAACTCAGATCAAATAAAGAATTGAAATCAAATAAGAAAACAACAAAGACATTCAGCTCAAATATTCAAAATTCAGATCATGAACAAAAAATTTAATAAAATCAATAAAATGTAATAAGAAAAAATAGAATTCAAATGAAATAAAATTTAACAAGAAAAATTATTCTGAAAATCATTAGAGGTAGGCTAATGGAATTTGCCAAATTTAAGTTTCAATAATTCAATAAATTACATTTATTCCTGGGAATCATTTCACTTAATAAGGGCTAAAAATCAAAAATTGGGAAATTAGGTGATCTACCGGGAAACTGAAAGATAAGGTGCAGAACTCGCAGAATATAGGTTTCTTTTAAATAAATAATACTGTGATGGTTACTGGTAGTTTATTTATCCATAAATACTTTTCATTTGTAAAGTCTTCACTGCAAACTCATTAGTAACATAATTTTTTCCCTCTTGGTTTTTACACAATAAAATTATAAAGTAAAGGAAAGAAAAGTATGCGAGTAAATATGATATATATCACTGGGCTGTATAATAGGGAAAACAATTAACAATGGCCTTTTATTTCTCCCAAATTACTATATATCATTACTTAAAACTCTATTTAAACAATTTCATAGAAACAACTTGCAACTAGTGCATTCATTTAGAAACACTCTAACCTTCTATTCTAACTTCCTTCACACAGCATAATGCTCAAAGCTACTTGCAGCTTATAAGCTTAAAAATGGCAGCATGTGACTGCCCTCTCTTATGGAGGTTCTACTCTAGTGTATACTGATCCATAGAATTCAGTTTTTCAAAATGTAAAGGAAAAATAGATAAATAGCAGTCAATTCATGTGCTTCTTCCAAAAATAAAGCCGGCCCATAGAAAATTCATCAAATTGTATAAAACCAAGGCAAAGATCTTATAACTGTGTTGCGACATCAAGCTTATCTATTATCGGACTAAATCATGTTATTTGGTGACAGTGTCTTAAACATGCTTTATGATGATTTCACAAGTAACTCATCTGCTTAATTTTGAAGAGAAAAAATATAGAATATAGATATGCCAGATAATCACACTTCCTACTGAATAAAAATACAAAAATCATAAGGAATTTTGTTCACACCACACTAATCATTTCATACAGACATTTTTTTCAAAACATATTTATAAACTTTGAAGGATTATAAAATGTGAATTTTCACTACTCAAAAATAAAGTTTATTTGCAATAGTTTGCACAATACAAATATGTAAACAGTTGCATGAGTCAATTTATGTACAGAATGAAAGCACAGAATGCATTATTTTTAGAAAATACATCAATAAACCACATCTTATAATTACCCATAAGTGATTTAGACAAAAACTAATAAAAAGTATGTCTTATGAACAACTGCATAAAAATGTAAATATATCATACACATTTAACAATGCAACTTACACTTTCTTGTAAAGCTAATGATAACACAAATGGTAACAGAGGTTGAAATAAAACTGGACCATCTTCAGGAAACACAATAAATGCTGTTTCAACAACCTGCAACATATCATGCAAATTACTTTTTCATTAAAAAAGAACTTCCTTTAATATCTACTAAAAGTAGACAGCACTTTTAAATTTTAAACCTTTAAACAGTTCAAATTTGGATAAAAGAAAGAGGAAACAACTGCAAGCATAATATTGAATAGCATACCTTTAAAACCATATTTATCCCTTCAGACTTCATGTCTGTGACAGCGGAAAGGAATGTCTGTACCAAAGTCCGACCAAACCTCTGCAATATACATTTAATTTATGCATTTATACATGTACATATACATAATGAAGCAAACTTAGATGCAAATGATGTAGAAATATTGATTAAGTAGATACTCTTTTATATTTTCTTTTGTAATGCTGTAGAAACATTCATAATGTAGAATGTCAATCCATAATGAAGAGCAATTTGTCAGCCAAGGCAGATTAAATATTCATTTTTATTTCAGTAAATATGCTGCAGCTGCAAACAACTTGGCAATCTAATTTGTGCCTATTTCAAAAACATTTACATTTTATATAGCTTTGTGGTAAGAAGAGAAGAAGCAAGCAGCAGCCTTATCCAAGCCGAGATGCAAAAAGCAAGTGCCTTTTGCATGATCTGAATAGGAAATCTTAATTCAATCCTATTCAATCTAATATGATAAAATCTTAATTCAGAATTAGTTAGCTTTGATTTTCAATGCATTTGAATATACAATTAATAATGCTGCAAAATTATTATTAGCTGCTTGAATTCCATTTACATCACTAGCATTATGTAAGAGCCATATGAACAGGAATTAGTCTCAAAATGATGCAGTGCACAAAAATGTGACTATTTTAAAACAGAGAGGGGAAATAAACAAATTGAAATTAGACATTAAAGGGCTATTGTTAATTTAAATTCTAATTTATATTTACATATTTTTTTACCTTTCTTGCATATAGTACATACATATATGTTTAAGTAGTTTTAATACTGAAGACATTGAGTAATAGGGATATTTTTATACTAAAAAAATTTTAATACAATATGCAAACAGTTTTTAAACCGGATAGACAACTGAAAAAGTACAATTCATAATTAGCAAAATATGCTTACATAAGGGCATGTAAATCCAAACTTTGATGTATAATGTTGTGCATTAGTGTAAACTTACAAATATTTGAAAACAAAATTAGTTGAGAGCATATATAGTAAAATGTGAATTCTGATTCAGCAGTTTCACCTAATTAGATTTTTCCATTCAGTCTTTACATAACTGAATATGAGATTTAGGTAATTTCTGATTATTTGTACTCCTCTCGAAAAAATTGTCAACTTGTTTTCACAAAGCTAATATGCAAAAGGCAACAGCCAATTTAGAAATGTCTACGCACTACGAAGTCTGCAAAATAACAATGAATCAATAACATTAGAAAAGTAAGAAACATCCATAAAAAAACACATTATCGTTCTCTTCATGTGCAAAGCAATCTGTTTTTGCTTGAAAATATTAAAGAAGTGCACTAATTCGCCAATGTACACAAATTTCAATACATAAAATTTGATTATTTAAGAAACACAACTTCGCAGAATGCAAATTTTTGTGTTCTTTACTGCTGAACACAATGACATGTTTCTGCAGAAATGCAGCACTTCCCCCCCCCATCAGCAGGTAAACTCCACAATTCCATTGCGACTCCTTCCACTACAGCACTTATAAAATTATCATACCTGCATGTCTTTAACAAAATGTTTAAAAAAGTTATTCAAATTTTTCAGTGCAGATTTTTTTAATTGAATATTTAACAAAAGATTTTTTCAAATGTTTCTCACTGAAACAATGAAAGCTAAAGAAATTACATCACTGCAAGCATGAAAATCACGTAGTTTCAATTATTCTAAAACAAAACATTCATTTAACACTTATATGTTGTTTACATTTTGAATGGAAAAATGTAGTTCATAAAATAAAAGATCCATTTCATAAACAAATTTAAAGATAGTCTGTTTTATTAATTTATTGCTTCTAGAAAAGTATGTTCTGGTTAGATGAATTGATTACTTCATTTATACAGAACCAGCTAGTTAATAAATAAAAATAACCAATGGATTGGGGGGGGGAATTCTGCCCCACATTTTTTCCTTCTTCCAAATTTATTTTGGAATTGTTACTTTACTTCAAGAAACAAACCAGTGCAAATTATTTCAATCTTTTTTCCTTAAAACTACAATAAAACATGCTATGCTTTACTAATCACTATATTATAATAATGCAGTTAAATCAAAATGAATAGGATAAGTTTCAGATTCAATAAATATCACACATTTAATTTTCAGTAGTGACACTGTAGTCAGTAAGTAGCATTGTGTCAGAAAATGTATTTTTTACATATCAAAAATTTTTATTTCCATTCCATATTCACCATAAAGTTCTCACAGTATTATTTGAAACTATACTGTTTTTATTAGCCAAATGAATATGAATAGAAGCATGCACAGATTTAAGATAAATGTAAAATCAGCTCACCTTCAAAAAATTTTCTGGGCACAAAATTATGTAGGCTTCTGTAATCTGAAGGCAAACCCGAAGATTTTCAGTATTACAATCTGGATAAAAAATTAAGTTTCAGAACTACCATGGAAAACTGAAGTACAAAGGTACAAAAAAAAATTTACGTGTTTTTCTGTAGACCATGATATTTGTGGTTATCACTACCGCAGAGGTTTGGAGGAACTGATTAGTTTTATTGAGTTAGATAATTAACATGTAAAAGTTATAGATATGGTAAATAAAAATAAAAAAAAAAAAAAGAGCTCAAACTTGATCTTTCCCATGAGGAAGGAACATCCTTCCATGCCTGCACGGGAAAGATCAAGTTTGAGCTCAATTTTTTAAATTTACTATATCTATAACTTTTACGTGTTAATTATCTAACTCAATAAGGCTAATCAGTTCCTCCAAACCTCTGCGGTAGTGATAACTACTAATTGTAGAAATAACATATTAAAAAATCATTAGGATTACACAAAACCAATGTCTCATGAGTGTGCTGTGAAGTCTTGCTAATGAATCCCTCACCGATACAAATTCGCACTGTTCAGTAACAGTTTTTATTTGCTGAAAATAGTCAATGGGAAAATACATGTATACCATTACTAATAAACCATACCATTACTAATAAATCATACTTCTTATAAGTTTTGGTTCTAAAGGACTCTTAATAAAGTCAATGTACATCAAAATTTTATACATTTACACTCATGCACACAGGATCGGATTTAGAATTTGATGAAATCCTAAGCTATTTGAAATATGGGGCCCTTTATGAGGAATATGAGTAAATTTTTTTTATATGAGATATGGTATAAATTTTGGGGATGGCCCCAAGAAAGTGGGGGGCTGTAAGCTATAGTTTGTGCAGCTTATACGTAAGTTGGCACTGTACAGACACATTTATTCATTAAATGCATTTGAAAAATGCTTTTAAGAAACTATTAAATTTTACATTTAATTATAAAATTCTGTTCTAAAAAGAATAATTTGGTTTTGTTTACCTAATAAAGGCATCATATTGGTGGCTAAGTTTAACAATTCTGGACTGCATGTGGATGTGTTGTCCAGCACAGCCCACCACAAATCCAAACCGTCCTCTAATAAATAAACATGAGGAGGCTGAGAAACATCTGTGCTGAATGCTATCATAGGAAGGAGGAATGGATGCAAGGATTCACTCAAAGTGCCAAGACCCTGAAGGAAAAAATACAGATATAGGTATTAAGAAGTTTTTTTTTTTTTCCATGAAAGCAGCAATAATGATATTTATTCAATTCCAAATTTTCAAAATCTATGAACATTGAACGATAAGAATAAACATACCTGCATCAAATGGACAAAACATGAAATAACTGCACATCGCAACATATTATGATCACCACAATTTTCCCATAACTGTGGTAAATATTGCGTAAGAGATTCTGCATAGGGGCGTACTTCAGATCCCATTCGTTCAACAATGAAAGACAACACATGTAAAACTGACATCTAAAAAATAAAAAAGAAGAATTAAGCATTCAAGATAAATATACAGGGGAAAAAACCACATATTTACAAATTTACCAGGATTTAAGACCAATATGTCAAGCTATAAAAAAATTATCATACGACTGAATAAGTAATACAGTCTATAAATACTGTCATTATGATATACTGAAACTCATATTAAAACAGAAACTAATGAAAATTTTAACCATATTTACTTATTAATAAATGCATTTAACCCATGAAGTGGCAGTTGTCATAAGCAACTAAAATGTGAATGATTATATTTACAGTATTAAATGGTAATTCCAACCTCAGAATGAATTTTAATAATATATAACTAAACATATAGTTTTTTGCTGTTGGTCACGGCAGAGAAAATATAAATGGGGGTATTTTATTAATTGGGAATTTCATTTGGAGCCAAATATAATTGGCTCCAACTGAATAATGTTGCTACAACCAATAACTCCTTCCTACTGTAACCAATAATATACGATTGCAGAAAGAAGGCAGATAAAAACAGTATCTGCCTTCCTGCTGCAACTATTTCCTGCCTTCTTTTGAAAATATGCTCAGTCTGTTTGTGATAGTGATTGCAGTAACATTCTTTTAACCACATGCTTAATTTTGAGGCATTTTATATTTGTTATTTTGTTAATAGGTCTCAGAGATTTGTCCAATAATGAAATTGAAAGCTATCCTGCTATCTCAGAAGGTATGGTTTGAAGAAAGCTGAATCACATTCACATGTCATACCAGTCACTGTCCTTATAGGTATTCTCGAGTATTCGCATAGATTACCATGGTTATATCAGTCAGGTTTCGCAAAGAAGTAATAGATATGAAGAAAAAAAAAAAAGTGATAAAAACTGGAACAACTATCTTCAGTCTGCATTATGAAATAAAGAAAGAAAGAAAGGTCCTGAGGCCAAATCACAATTCAAGCTGCTTAGACATTAAGCCATAATTCTCAGTTGGTTAATACATTAGAATCAAAATTTCTAACTTTTCCCAAGAAGTAAGGTGGTTAATTTATTTGCTATCTAGTTAGCTTACCTTTTAATTACTTCATATGTATGTCCTATTTACAATTTTTACAGCCCACTTATTCTTATTTTTACTAACTTTTTATTTTCTCTAACTTAGAATTTATAATATTAAAGAATAATACAATAAACAAAATATCACATGCATGAAATTAAACTAATACAGGAACTAAAGTATTAAATTCTAGTGAAGAAGTAAACGAAATCAAAAAATTTGCAACTGCTATTGTAATATCATTATTGCATTTTTGAGTTTTAGTGCTCCATGAATAATGACTCAAATGTACACAAAAACTATAGACGCCAGAATTTTCACAGCAAATATTTAGATTTTTATATAACAATATTTTTAATACAATGATATAAAAATATACCTTTAAATCACATTCCTTTACTTCTTTCAAAAGCATAAAAACAGCAGAAATACTTTTTTCTAAAAACTGTAAAAAAATTATATTAATTGAAAGGACTTTCTGATACAAAACATTGCGAGTTTTAATGAATATAATGTTACCACTCTTAGAAATATCAATTTTTAAATTTATGGGAGAAGAAAAAACGTGGAAACTAATAGAATTTCAAATCTTGTTCAACTAACTTAAAACATGCCATTAAAAAAGTAATCTGCATTTTTAATTTTAAAACAATATATTGGCAATTCAAATGAGTTTTTAAACAATTGAAAACGTTACTAGTTTAATATAGAAATTCAGCTGTATTACATAAAACAAGACAATATGTAATTTAGTACTTAAGAAAAAAGAGAGATAAAAATAAAATATATATTTACTGGAAGAAACTGCTCTGTGCTGAATTCAAAATCATCTACAGGTAATGCTAGTTAAAGAGCATACTTTCTCTAATTACACTGATATAGTTTAATAAATAACGAGTGAACTTGTAACACACTGTTGCAAATACAGAATTTATAATTATAAATGCACGATTTTAATAACTTCACCTTTCAAAAGAAAATTTTGCCCAATTATAGTTTCTCTTTATTTGGTACAATGATGCAGTAGCCTTAATTATCCAAATAGTTAACTATCCACATAACTAATTATTAGAACTCAATGTAATTTGTAAACCAAAGACTTTTTAAAATTATCATTCTTTAAACATGATTAAATTACTCATGTAACTCAGTTCAGATAATTGAGGTTCAGTAGTATACTTGCATATATTATTTACAATATTCAAATGAACAACAAACTATTTCACTGTTGTTCATTAACAATATGAAGCAATTTATCTATTTATTAATTAACAGCAATTACTGAAAATTAAAATGATTACTAATTTATTAGTAAACTTTAATTACAATCAAAATATACATAATTTAACACAAAAGAAAAATCACAGCTATTAATTATAAAATGTTCGAATGGAAAAGTGCCACAGTAATAAAACAGAAATATCATGAATGATAATATACATTTGCAAAAATTATGTATCCATATAATTTTAATGTAAATAGTCAAAATGTGAGAACACTCAATAATAACCTTGTTGTGCTTCCATTTCATTCGAAGCATAACAATGCGTACTTCTTGATCCCTAAAGATCACATTCATATTGCTTAATTTCTAAAGATTGATCAGTATGATGAAGGAAAATGAAATTCCTTAGTCATACTGATTAATTTCATACTGCTTGATCCCTAAAGATCCTTCAACTTCTGATTTCTCAAAAGTTAAAACAGCTGTTAAATCTTCTAATATAAGTCAGTATTAAAAAAAGAAAAAAAAAAAAAAAAAAAAAAAAATCAGACCAATTATTGCCAACTGTGTTAGGTTTTATGCTCTCCCCAAAATCGATGAAAATGGAATTTCTTTCCGACCTATAGTTTTTAACTTATGAACAACATCATCCTTTGGCCAACAAATATTTAGTTTCTGTATCTTCTCTCTTACTTTCTAACTATATTTATGCTGTAAAAAATTCTTTTGAAATCGTTGATAAACTTATAGATATTTCTTTCCTGTACTCCATTATGTTTTTCTTTGATATTAACACCAGTGTTTACTTATGTTCCAGTCGAAGCAGTACTAAAATGTCTAAAAACTAAACTTTCAGAATTCCATTTCACACATTTAGAAATTGAAGACTTAATTTCTCTTACTAACATTTCTTTCACTCAAACCAATTTTATTTTCAAAAATGAATATTATTGCCACATGGAAGGATTAACTATAGGTAATCCTATCAGTTCTGTAAGATGACACTTTCACACTTTTTGCTGATATTAAAGAAGATCCATTCCAGACTTTATTTGATATAAATATGACTGATCCAACCATCTAGTTCACTTTTGAAACAAAATCTCTTTCTTGATATTCTCCTCTTCTCTTTCTTGATATTCTCATAATCTGCAATGAATCTGATTTCAGCACTAATGTTTACTATAAATACTTTTCTGTTTGTCTGCCTCCTCATGCTAAGTCATGTCACCTAGCTGAGGAGGGAAAAGAAGGCTTTTCTTTTCATTATGTATTTCGTACTTTCAAAGTTTGTTTCTCAGAAGGCGAAGCATTAATAATGCACATTGTTCAACCATTAGCTCAATAATGAATCAGTTATTTAAAATCAGTTGCCATTGACTGAGGATTGTTTCCCATGGTAAAGCCATAGGAAACAACATTGATAAAGCCTTTAAAAAATATTAAATATTCTTCTTGCCAACAAAGACATTCTGCTGTTTAAAATAACATTAATAACCTTGACGTGCTTACATTTCATTCTTCTGTCAGTTACAAAATCGCATGGGTCCTCCACAAAGTTAAATTTTCAAGTCATTTCTTACCTATCAATAAAATCCATGGCTTGATTCTTAAGATTCCATTTCTGACTTTTATTCTTGGGGAATTTATAGCACATTTTGTCACCGTGATTTGAAATATATTGGCCAAACTGAAAGAATATTAAAGTTCTACATCAAGGAACATGAATCTCATGTCCAAAAAGGTGAAATTAACAAGTCTTTGATAGCTAATCATAGTTAGAAATCTAATCATAATTTTGATTTTGGATCTGCAAAAACTATTCAAAGAGCTTTTTCTATTAGTGAACTGGATTTTCTTGAAGTTTTTCATATTCACAAAGATTTATCTTGTTTCAAATCTTAATGTTTACCTTAATTCAATTCCAGTTCTTCCTAACACTTTTAAAATTCTATTAACTTGATTTTTCTTTGCTACAATTTCTGCCAAAAGACAATGCTACCTTCTTGTTCGTTTTACTTCTTTTGAGTATAAACACAACTATGGCTTTCATTTTGCAGTAGATTTCTTTGTTCCTTATGAAGGGAACCTGTACCTGTCTGCCCTCAAAATTGACGAAGCCTTGACTTAATCTATGCTAAATCCAAGATTGTTGCTTCACCTAATTTTATGTAAGAACATTGTTCTGTATCAGCATAATTCACTGCATTGAGCAAAAGTGCAAAATAAGTATAAATGTATCTTAATTATGCTTAACCCTTTGACGCGCGGTGGTTGTGCCTTGAAACCTCCATTTTCCGAATTTCTTTTCTCTCCTCTTTTTTCTGAAATTTTTGAGGGAAAATGAATTGATTACTGATCTTTTACATCTAAATAACACAAAATGACTGTAGAAATCATAATTGTTTTAGGTATTAATACTTTCAGATCGGATTTGCCTTTAAAATGCGTTTCGGTGAGACAAAATAACTTCCTTTTTTAATATAAACACTTTAAATTTCAAAAGTTAGTCATCGCACATCATGATTTCCATCATAACAAGAAAAAATTGGCGTAATTAAACTGCATACATAAAAAACCCTCTATAGTATCGTCATTTGCTATGTGGTTTCAAGGCGCAACCACTGCACCACTAGAGTTGTCACAATGCTTACAATCCGTGGCCCCGAGGGAGCGTAAATAATGCCCTGAACAAGTGGTCAGCTTGTCGCAGAAACCCCAGTGTTTAGTCCCCAAGTAAACTTGGTACTCATTTTATCAACCCAAAGGATGGAAATCAAGAGATGAAAGGCTGAGTGGACCTTGCCCATCCCGGGGATTGATCCCTGGACCTGTGGTCCTGCTGCGCAATGTGCTAGCCACTGCGCCACCGGGCCTCCTTATCATGAAAATGTCAATAAAAATATCACATGCAAAAGTGTTGGCACAATGCAAGGAATAATATGTATTCTTTTATATAATACTCCAAATGTGTCAAATAAATATTACAATGATATTTTAACTTATATATCAGAAGGATATCAACTTTAAGAGCATTTGCAGCAGCAAGCCGAACAACAAGGTTCTCCTCATTGTTCAGCAATTCTAAGATCACTTCATAGAGTAAAGGCCTCATTTCAGGTGACATTTTTATGCTGACCCACTGTCCAATAAGCCAAATAACCCGTCGTCTAATTACATAATAACTAAAAAAACAAACAAACAAACAAACAAAAAACATAAAAAAGGATAATTTTATAATACTGGAGCATAACATAGAAATTTTACAAAAGAATTCAGCAAATTATAAAATTTTTTTCAGTCATTCACAGCAATGTACAGTAGTTAATATTACATTTTAAGAAATTCTATTTATCCTCTTATATACAAGTGTTTAGATGGAACATATCAAAGAAGGAAAAAAAAGCTTTTTTTTTTTCTAAATTATTCATAGAAAATTAATTTCATTTTAAAGTAAGCAAAACATGTTTCAATTCAAACTTCTGTTTCATGCTTCAATTTTAAATATTATTTTGAAGATTACAAAACTGTAAGTTGGTTTGATGTACTGAATCTATATCAAAAAGGAGTTATTCTGTAAAATTTTCAACCTAAGCTGTCTCGAAATATTGCAGCTGTTTCACAGTAATGAACAAATATATAAATCATGATTTTATCATGAAAGCAGCACTGAGTAATGCTTCTTCATGATTCACAGCTTATTACAAAAAATCTTGCATCCAAAAATTTACCAGAATTGTTTGAAAAGCAATTAATTTAACATTTATCTGACACTTTTCTGTTTATGGGGTGCCAATTGCCAAATGCGCATCAAAGCGCTAAATGTAGTAGCCTTCTTATGCAGCATCATAAACAGCCATCCAATGATGCTGCAAATAAGCAGAATGAATGAATGTCAATATAGGAATTTTCAATTTTCTAGATTTTAAGTTGCTTAAGTAGATGAACAAGCAGCTACCTAATATGAAAACTTGCAAATTAACCACAAATGTAAGATAATTGATCCTGATACAAGATGACAAGCTGATGAAATAATGATGAAATAAACACCAGCATGGCACTGGCCACCAACCATCTGTATTTTTACCTCATCGAATTCAAGTGATGTTGATTACATGAAAAGATATACTTGTTTTCAGCTATGTACATAAAATCGGCAGTGTTATGCCTCTTATGTAATCTGAAATTAATCAGGTAAAATCTATTTTATATTTTTGCATTTGTCTATAGTTTTAGTATTTACTTTAGATTTAATACAAAGATCATTCTTATCATGAAATTTTGCATCAATTTAACAGAAAATGTGGAATATTCTATGGAAAATTTATTTCTAAGGACTTAAATTAGCAATGCATAAAATAAAGCACAGATTTAAAGTAATTTAACTAAGACAATCAGTTCTTTAAAACATTTATTAAGCCTTTGTTTTTGAAAATAATAATTAAGTACTTTTCAAAACATATAAACCATACATTTGATAATTTATTATGATGGTTTTTAATGTAGTAGTTTTCACTTTTACTTACAGACATGAATTAACAACTTTTTAAAGTTGAAGAGAAAATCATTACTAATTATACTCTTTTGATAGTTACACTTTTTAGTAACTTATATTTTTCATTTTATATCTTTTAAATTTGCCAATGGTCAAAGTCTCAACACAACCACTTCATATAATTCATAGTATGTATAGTAGATAATTTTGCAAACTTCTGCACTGACATATAATCCCAATGAGATGGGAAAGTATAAGTAAGACTAAGTATATATGCAAAGTAGCAAGCCTTAAACATGAAAAACATTAATTTTTAAAATTTACATTAAAATCAATAGCAGCAGAAATAAAATTACATAAAAAGTTGAAAAGTTGCTGGCTGTGGAAATATTATACATATGTAAAAAAATCAAGAAAAATTCTTTGTGAAAAAAATTGCATCCAAGATTAGATTCTAAATTTTTCTTTCTGGAAAAATGGGCAGATGGTAGCTCTCTGATTGTAGCAAAAAAATTAAAGTTTGCAAGTTGCCTATTCTGTAACCACTTTTTCAAAAAATACTGTTTAATAATACTGTTATTTACTGTTTACAAAAATACTGAATTTAGTATTTGTGTAAATAAATTTAGTGGAATTTTATGTAAAGTGTAGTATCTCTTGTATAATGCAACATGAACAGCCTCAAGAATGTTCAGCTTCGCTGAGAAAGTGGTTCGAAAAAATCTTTGCTCTTCAAGTGTGTAAACGTCTTAAATCGAAAAACCTGCCTGAAAAAGCTGTGCTATTGATCGACACACACCTTCCAGCAACAGCTGTAAGCTTCTGATGACAAATTTTGCAAAGTTTCCCCCCCCCAACAGTACTGCGAAATCCAACCCATGGACAGGAGTCATTGCAACAAGAAGAACATACAAACCAACTGCTAATGACCAAATTGAGAAGTTTATTTAAAGAGTTTGGAAACACTACACAATCCTTGGACAGCATCTACGATATTGCATCTACAATGGGACCGGTGAAACCTCACCCGCATAAATCATGAGAAAACTCATGCCTATATTGAACCCAACAACCTAGACCCCTTCAGGTGTGAAAAGAGATGAAGAGTAGACCCCACCCCGTTAGCTCTTGCCAATATCGTGAACACATTCCGTCTGGTGAGAACAACCATGTGAAACATTACGAGTGGTTTGGAGTGTTGATGTCACGAACCTGGCTTCGAAAGGTTGCCGATGACGAAATTGTGAAGAAGCCAGGAAGACTGAAAATGAATACATCACCGATCAGGCAATAATCCCGGTCATATGCAAAGACTCACGAAGCGGCTTTGCAAACCAGTCGACGGACTGCTGAGCTATTTGGAAGAACAAGACGACGCGGTATTGGCCGGAAACTTATGCTACGAAAAATGAAATTTGGATCAAAGAGAAATGCAGGCAAAACAGAAGCAAAACACAATGACTGATTTCTTTCTTCAAAAAGGTGTAGTTTTTTACAATTAATGCTTTTATAATTAACATAATACATTACAGTATTAAATATTACATATGTATTAATTTTTTCTGTATATCCTTGACGCTCTCGTAAGTACAAGCACTTTTTTATTAACACATGCATTTTCGGTTAGGTTTGTGTGAGAACTAAAATCTTAAGTTTAGTTAAAACATTTCCTTTCTGCTGTTTATTTTACGTTTTATTGTACATAAAATGATTTTTCAATAGTTTTCATATGTTTCCCTTTTTCTCTTTTGCTATACCTGTTTTTAGCTTTTTTCGGATTATCCGCGATTTTTGTTATCCGCGGCGGCCGCGCCACCCAATTCCGTGGATAATCGGGAGTGTACTGTAAATAGCTATCTTGCCAAATTGCCATCATAGCTGGTAATGAATTTGATGATGTTGCCATGTCGCCAAATTTGAGAGGAAATCGCCAAATTTAGCGACCATTTGGTGATATTTTGGTTCCATACTTATGTAACTGGTCCAATCCTTCTAATGGTAATCCCCTATGTGGCTGTAACTGTATATGCCTTCCAGCAATTTAAAAAAATCGAAGGTATTTGAAATTTCTCGCCCGATGGGGGAAAATTACATAAGACAGGAGAGAGCATCAATTTAGTTCTGAATTTAGCTCAGAGTAATGAGAGATCACTGTGTCAGCTTATGCACTGGGGCTTTTCATACTGTTTCATGTTTAATGTTCTTAGTAGTTTGAAGTGGTAACTACTGATTGTGCTCTGTCATACTGAGGTTGGTTTGGTTTATTGAGATTATTGCAAATCACACTAGGGCTAAACGCCCGAGGGAAGAGATGCATTTGTGGAAGACTTTCTAAGGGAAACTGGCTCATAGACACATTGGGAAAGCCACAAAAATGCCCTTGCAGCCAGCTCGTTCGTGAGATTTGAGCCTCAGACCAAACTACCAGTGTTCAGCGCCTTTACCGCTCGGCTGCAAGTGGGCCCTGTCATACTGAGAAAAGCTGTACTAGTACTTTTGTGAAAAGTTCTAGAACTGTAAAGAGCCTCTTTTTGGAAAATAAATTTTATCAACCTATCATTGATTCTATGATCATTCAATCCATTAAAAAACCGTACACATACAGCAATTTATGGTGCCTGGCATGGGATTGAATGCCAGTAACAAAAGTGATGGAGCAGCAACTAAGATGGCTGGTGAGTCTTTGCTGCATTCCACGAAAAGACAGAGGTGAATCAAGTCCATTTAAAGAAGAGATGAAAGCAGGACAAAAATCCATTACTAATTTAAATCATTACAAGCCTGTACACACATAACAATATATATTTGAAAGAATAAAATTATGAGTCAAAAATCAAATCAGCAATACAACCTATCTTTTAAATGTTTAATAATTAAGTAGAAATACATTTTTGTAGGATTCCTTATTCATTCAGGTTATTTAATTTTAATGAAGTTCAATATGCAGAATAGATATAAATTTGCTTTACATCCTTTATTAATCGTTTAATTAAATACTTGCCAAGTCATTTAAAGCATTTAAATAATTAGTGTTTAAGTATTTAAATAACTTGGTTTACGCAGGCCATCTACAATAGCTCAAGAAACTCCTAAAGGTGAAGCTAATCTTTTCCACACAAAAGATTCAAATGTTTAACTTCATACAGGGTTGCCACTCAAAAAAGAAAAAGAAATTCCCTGACTTTTCTAGATGCATTTCGGGAAAATTCCAGGCCATACACATAGTGTGCATTAGCTGTGCAGAGGATAAATTAATAATGGCACCACTTGAAAACATAAATAGTTGCCAATTACATGACTTTAATAATATACATATATTAGTAATGCTTTGGGGATTATTGGGATTTGAAAATGTCTTTTTTAGACATTTTGCAGTGCATACATAAGTAAAAAATATTCACACTAAATTTCTTGATAGTATGTCATATTACTGCTAGAATTAGTTTCACAAGTATTCAAGAGAAAATTGCCTGAAATTTGAAAGTATTATTAATTAATAATAAATACATTTAGAAGAAAGAAGGCACATTAAATGATATAAACAACTTTAAAATAAAGTTAACTACTTATGGATTAAAAACTTAATTACAAAAATCGATGGTATTTTGGCGAATATAAATATATTAAATGGTTAGCCTAGATGACTGATTATTATTATTATTATTATTATTATTTTTACTGCAAAATGACAAATAAGGCATTTATCAAAGAAGAAAAGGTTTAAAAGATTTTGTTTTATACAAGAATGGGGGAGGGGGATTTACTTTCATTCAACATGCACTGCACATGCGCATGTGAAGTTCATTCAACATGCACTGCACATGCACGTGTGAATCTTTGGATACTCGAGGTTACTGGAAACTTTCTTTGCCTTTCTAAAAGACTATCTGATTGGTGCTGTGGAAATTGGCTCTATGCCAGTTATGTGAATGACGCTTACCTGATGCTCAGGCAATACACGATTCACCAAGAAAGTGATTGCGTGACATTTTGGTCAATTTTCGAATTCCCTGACTTTTTCGGGTTTTTCAGGTAGCATGGCAAAACCTTGTTCATATGAAATATATATATATTTAATACATATATTTAAATTGTTACATAATTTTATATAATTACATAAAGGAAAAATACACATACCCAGTTACTTTAACTTTGAGTTCATGAAGAAGAACACTTGTGAACCAATTGTCAAAATCAATTTCATCATATAAATCAAAAGCTGCTAATCCAACAGCATTGTAAACTAGAAAAGGTAAAAATTACATTTCATACAAAAATGCTTAGGTAAACTTAAAATTAGAGATAAATTCCAAAAGCAGTGATCATTGTGAATTCCAAAAGTAGAGGTCAAAAACCTCTGTACAAAGATGGTTTACACATTTTTAAATGAATTTACAGCACTTGTAATAAAATTTTTAAATAAAATATTTACTGCTCAAATGTTCTATCTCAAGGAAAACTCGCAAACCTCGACTCATTTTTCTGTGGGCCTAAGTTCACTCGAGAAAATAATAAAAAATATATATATAAAACATACTGACAAAGAATTAGAATTCTACACAATATTATGATGCAGATAAAACCTAAGGTGCTGAAAAGGACTCTTGAGACAGTCTCTTAACAGAAATATTTTCTCAACAAGTGTTGAGAATTGCCAGCCTATTTACATATAGAATAAATTTAGTCTTACTGAACTTTAAAACAAAAATTCAACGAAGAAAGTATTCAGAAATTTCCCAACTATTTCCCACAGCAACTTCCAGAAAGCTACAAATCTGCATCACACATGACTTCCATGCTTTGATAATAGCTAGGGTGAGCAGCATGTCACAAAATATCCGAAAGCTGGTTGCAGCAAAAGATGCCAGGTATTGGGAAACAACAGGTATTGATCTAGTCATGTTCCTTCTATTTTTTAAGGATTCATAGTATTACATAAACTTTGATATATTTGCTCACTTTTTAAATACATTATTAAGTATGATTTTTCCCTCCTTGTGGGCCACACTATTGAATACTGATGACTATTTGGTCCACTTGAAGTACTGAGTTTGATATACCTATTCTACCTGAAAGTTCTTCTGGTTTCTCTATTTAAATATTATCTTCCAATATAAGAAGGAACTTTAAATATTTAGTAGTAATACTTTGCACTAATTACCTTTTACTACTTTTCACAGTCCACCCAGTATTTTAGATTTCCAATTAGTAAATACTCCTCTACAGACACACTAATTCACTGGTGGCATATCAGAAGACTTCAAGAGAATTGGGGAAAAAAGATATATGCAGTAGGATGAAACTATTCAAAAACCTGGAATACTTTTTTTTTTTTTTTTCTGTGAATAATTCAAAATATCAGCAAATAACTAGCTTCAAAATAATACATTCTTATGCAATCATACACTTTTGCTAGTGCTTATATAGCTCGTGAAAGCATTAGTATAGGCTATTTCCCCCCCCCAACCATTTATGCTGTCAAAGTTGCTTTTTGAAACAACAGCATCATTTACATACAATGCTCTTTAATGCAGCTGTCAACAGAAACAGGTGAAAAAGAAGTCTTGAAGTAATTTCGTTTTGGCACCTGTTCTGAAGTATGTTGGCTTCTATTCTTCTATTTATAGGCCACTATGTATAATATCACAAATGTGAATCTAAGTGGTGAATTTCAAAGATTGTTTAGCAATGATTTGGTTTACTATTACTATAGACACTGCATCAACTTAGTAGAGATTTTAATCATGCTTTATCTGAGAGGTGTGGTTTTAAGACACTGATAAACTCTAGTAGAGAGGATACTATTCTCTCCCACATTCTCACATTTTTGGTTGTTTCAGATAGATGGAACTCCTGCAAATGATACAATATGTTCAGGTAATTCTCATTGTGACCTCAGAAATAAGGACTAAATTCTGAATTAACAATGTGTTAAAACAAAAAAGAATTTCCAATATGGCCTAGAATCCCCCCCCCGCCCAAACGGACAATTTGCCTACAAGGGCTATTAATTTCATTTTGGCAATTTGCATCATCCACTATAAAATGTTTCACTTTTCAAATAGTTGTCACCAAATATTAGAGCCCTGCATTATATTTAAAAAGAACAATTTTTTAAAATAAATGAGAACTTGCATGCATGTGTGTATGTTTTCTCAGATTGGTGAAAACACAACGATATCTGAGACATCAAGTCTGAATAACATAGTCTCCACTCGATTGGCAGCTGGAAGCCCAAATTTGGAATTTGTTTTATATCTATTTCATATTTTGTGAACTTCATGAATTTTTTGTTACAAATTACGATTTTAAAGTGAGCCCTGCACACTGTCCGGGAAAAAAAAGCATTTTTATCACCAGCATGCAAGACTGCATATCAGAAAGTCTAAAGATGAGCTCTTTTTAAGTATTTTGAGATATTGCTATTGAGTTGAATTTCATGGTTTAAGTGCGAGGAACGTGATACTTAATAAATACACGCAACACACAAAACATTAAAAAAATGCCCTTTTGGGCATAATATAAAATCTGAAAGCTTTCAGCTTTTTATTTTATTGTTATACAAACTCTGGTAAATACAAAAGTAGCAAACTCTGGCTGAATATCAAACAAGTAACGCTAATTTCTATCATTTCAGATGATTTTATCCATAAGTATTGGATTATCATTAAAACTGCCAATTAACTTGCTCAATACATACTTCCATTCCTCCTGTTCAAAGAACTAAAGTCTTTGGACAATATACTGGTAGGTGCAGTGCAAGTTTAAATCTTCCATCAAAATCAAGTGGTTTACAATAAGTAAATAGCCCTAAAAATACCCTGTCATGATGAATGAAATCAATGTTTTGCTCACTTTGTGCTGTCACAATTCAACCAGAAGGCTTACTTGTGATGGATTTTTTATCTTTTTTAAAGTGTGAATACCTTTCATATTGCTACTATACATCTTCATGAGCGTTTCTAAAGCCTGAGCAGTTGTTTTACCCAAATACAACATTTAATGTTAATATGTTGCCCTTTAAAATCTGTATTTCTTAAATTGTAGAATAAAGATTATAACACGATTCATTCGTGTAAGCAGTTTAGTTACTCCCCTAGTACAAACCACTTACTAATTTGCTTCCCTTCTTTAAATCTTTACTTTTTCTAGTATGTGCAACAGTGCCTTTTTTGTAATTATTTTTACACATAGATCAAACTGTGAATCTCTGCTGTTTTTTAAAATTAATTTTGAGTTTATTTGGTAATTATGTATAGAGAATTTATTTGTCCCCTCTTTTCCATGCCATCAGTTCAACTGGTTTGTTTACAATATATGCAATGCAGATACAAATGGATTCTTAAGCGTACTATTTCTTGGGATTTTCTGGCATACAAAAC